GTGACATTTTGATTTATGAGACTGACCACCACTACCTCAGGCGAATACCACACAGACGCAATAAACGGTTCACAGATAAATTTGATAAAAAAAATCTTTGATCTTAAAAAGGAGAACAAAATCCCAAGTAATCCACCGGATTGATCTGCAACTGAAGAAAAGACGGGACGGAAACGTTTTGTCCGATGAAGTTCGAAACCTTTTGCATCCTAAATTTTCACCGTTTGTTTGTTTGTTTGTTTGTTTTTTAATTTAATGTTGTTTATTATTTTGTAATACGCGTGGTGAAGTGAAATTTCTTTCCACTTTTGACGCGACGGTAACGGAGGAGTGAAAAAACGCGGAAGGTTTGGGTCAGGTCGCGTGACGTATGTTCCTTACGCGACCCAACTCAAACCTGCTTCCCTTTTTTCCCTCAGGTGCTTCTTACTACAATCGCTCTGTCTTACTAACTGAACGCCTATTACATGGCAATGTGCTAAGAATAAAAAGGTTAAAAAAAACTGATCTAAGCAGTGAAAGTTGAACGAGGGCGACCGTGATTACAGTGGAACTTTAATGTGCGTGTGAAACTCAGTTCATGCTCTCCTTGGCGTGAGATCAATGTCATGAGACGATGACCACTTCCTGATGTTCTTTTTGAAAAATAAATTTTTGACTCGGGAAATCTGCCGTGAGGTGATTTGATGAGGTGGTTTTCTTTGAGCACATGTTGAAATAAATGATCCAAAAGTTTATCCCCTAAAAAAGAGAGAAACCACAAAGTATTCCGTTCAAAATAATCGCTGACTCCCTAAGAATTCGAGCAGATATGTAAGTTGAACTTGTTTTGACATTGTTCACGAAGATCTATTGAACGCACATTGTCTTTGCGACGTGCACGCGTGTTATGTACAACGCGCGCAGCACACGAGGAAGAAAAAATCACAGTGATACCAACTGAACATTTCATAACCGTCATAGCTACGTTTCAGGAGCATAAAATCACTGATCAAAACAGTGAGTATCAATTGTTTTTGAGGTTTAAGAGGTTTCATCGCTTATTCATCGCATTCTTTGCAGCTCTTTCTGTGACGGATCTCGCGCGATCTGTCGCGCGATCGCCACCATCCCGCGCGTGAGCACTAAAACCTTGCTTGTTGGAGCCCACCCAGGTCAAAAAGAGATTGATGGCGGGTCAACCAACAAAAATTGCTTAATTCAATAATTTGTCTTTTTATATCACCCCCGAGGTAGTTCTGACACCCAATAATAAACATAAATCCATGGCATAACAGGAGCCCATTACTGATCATAATTGATACTTTTTTCAACTCGACATCTATTTAGGAACCGTTTTTCTTGGCACATCAGCACTTAGTTACTTGGAATAATTTAATTCGAACATTTGGGACCCTAACGAATAACGAGAAAGGGTTACTTTCATTCTTGTTATGAAGCCATTCTCGTCCGCCAAGAATATACCTCTTGAGGTACCAGTCAGTCCTCGTTTATCACCTGTGGGGGTGGGGAGGGGAGGGGTTTAGAGGATTTTAAGGGGGATATCACATTGTTTTCAGGGGGCGGGGGATGGTCGTTAACATAGTATAAAGGAGGGGATATCAGAAATTGACTGCCAATTAAATGCCAATGACAGGGGGGGGGGGGTTGGGGGAAGTGGGGTCAGAAGAAAATTACAGAGCCTTAAGGTAAATGTTATCGTTGCACAAAAATCCTCCGAACTACCCTCAGCCTTCCTCCCTCCCTCCCCCCCTTCCCCCCGGCGATAAATGATGACCGATCCCCAACAAACAAAAGGTAGATAAAAAATAATAAAAAAAAAAAAACCAGAATGAAACGAGGCAGGCGGATGCTGTATGACCGCCACAAACCGGAAACCGCAGACTTTAATAGATCACGCTTCAGACACGATAGAGAAACGGTTAAAAACTCGTTGTTTTTAATATTCAAAACAAAATTGGTCTAAATTAGTTCCAGCCATCATTGATTAAAAAGATACGTTTGACCTAATAGTGATTCCCACTGAAAATATTACTCTCAAGTCAGGGAAATGTTGTCGATCACATTTCTTTCATTTTATCGCACGCCATTTCAGTAAGGAAGATGAATTTTGTCCAAGTTTCTGTTTTTTATTTCAGAGAGAAGCTGAAACGTTTTTGTGTGTGTGCAATCTGATCGTCGTTATATATTTTTTTTTCTGAAAGCGCTTATCAGCCGTATTGATTAATATATCATAGAAGTTAATGTATCCTGTATCAATAATAAATATTAATTGATTGTAATTGTAATCAAAAGCTTGCGTTGAAGATACTGGCGAGAAACCCGCTGTTTTCTTTGTTTTCAATCGAAACGAACACACACATGAACATCATAAAATTCAGTGCTGGTGGTCTCTTCCAAACAGGAAAAGTTTTCGATTGTAGGTCCTCATTGTTTCTTCGGCATCGCGAAAAATTCATGATTTTCTAAGAGGTGGTCATGAAAAGTTATTTTGCTTCAAAGGTTGTTGGGGTTACATTGTTACTAGTAGAGTGTGGTCAATTAAAATGATTTCTGACAGCATTATACGGCTAGAACACATGTATATCTCACCAGTTGAAGACTTAAGAAATTATATGTGGTTATAATAACGGGCCGATAACACTTAAACCGAAATGAAGAATGGAAAAGCTGGGCTTCTCTAAGCATTTGCAAACTCGTCCACCACGGCTTGGCAAGTAACCGAAGCAGTGGGTTCTCTTCGCCTAATAAATAATACAGACTCATTCCCCTCGACAAACTGAAGTATACCCACTCGTACAATTAAGACTTTTTGTTGATTTAACGATAAAAATTAAAAGTGTGGAAAAGGGTTACCAGTCGTACTGATATAAATGAAAATTTATATATCGGTCGTTTGCAGATGAATTGCACTTGAACGTCTTTTTTGTTAAACAGCATAAGATATTTTGGTCAAAATAAATCGACGAATCGTCATTTTGCAATTTTTAGAAGTACAAAGTGCTTGAACGGACAAAAAAATTGACAGAAGAAGGAGACGTTTACGCAATGCAACGGCCTAGGGATATCCATGGAGGACATCTTGACACCCTTTGCGAAGTTCTTTTGGGCGGCCCTAAATTTAGGAAATGTAGCCATGTTCAAATCTTAGAGAAGTTTTCCGAGGGTGTACAACTTCTTTTCGTCTTCTCGTATTCTTGCATGTTCTTAAGCAGTCAAATTAAACTATTTTCATATAAGAAACGAAAGATAAAACTCAGCCACGATTCTGAGAACTATATATAAACTCCTCCTTTCCCATCATCAAGACAATTCAAAGCCTCAACAAAATGATTCACACAGAGCTCAGAAGAAGCAATTACGCAATAAGTTTTTTGAGAAGATTAAGGATTGGTCATCATGTTGGAGTTGCAGTTCATTCAAATGAAGACATGTGCACAAAGTATACAATCTCTTTGCACTCCCTAAAAATAGACACTGATTTCTGCTGGTGGCTAGGGTTTACAGAAACCTTTTTATAAAGTTATATTAGCATTAAGCCAAGGAAAGGTTTTCATGAAAACAGAAATTTTTATTCATAAACATTTCAGGCCTGATCCACACTAATGGGTTTTCAGGCGTTGGAAAACATATTCTTTTGGTGTGTTTTGGCCTGGCAAACTCACCACATCCTAAAAAAAGAACGCCGATGAATGGGAGAATCTCGCCAATAGTTTTAAAAATGGATGTTTTGAAAACGCATTATTTTAAAAACACTCCGTTTTATTTGTGGAAAACTGAAAACTTGGGCTTTTAAGAACATACAGTCGCCCAGTCATCTGCGTTCTCAGCCAGGCTCTTTTTTTTCCGATAGGGGAAAATACATCAAGCTATATGAATTGTCAAATTAAAACGCTCTTTTGTGGACAGTTTAGAGGGAACGAAAACGCTCGTGTGGGATGAATTATTTTGCATCATTTTGCTTGGGGCGAAAACGGACACTTTTAAAAACACATTAGTGTGGTTTGAGCCTTAGACGTGACTTTTCAACGTCGATCCAATGAACAAAAGATAAAATAGACATCAATTTCCTCTTTACAAAACCGACAGCCACAATTTATTAAACTTCCAAAGAATTTCTGAACAAAGCGTGGCTTTGCGATTTCCGTTTCAGGACTGGTCAATTTATCACTAGCGGTTTAAAACTCTTGAGACTGGCCGACAGCAATGCACTTTTCCCCCAAAGTGATTTGTTGCGGTCAAAATCGATCAGAGAGGAATGATGTGGGAAGACGTTGAAAGATGTTTTGCCAAGGAGTCGAGCAGATTTCGATAACCATCGACTTGAGTTGTCTCGATCTCGAAATAGGATGGGATAAACAGCTCTGTCAGTATTTACCGCAGGTATCACGAACGACAAGATGGCTTGAAATGAGATTGGCTTTGAGCCGATTTCTTGACTTAAATGACTCTAAACTGCTTGTTGACCCTTAAGAAGACGAGAAGATTCCTCAAGAAGCCGGTGATTTTGGTTTGGTTGTTAAAAAAAACGCAAACAAATGTCGATCTGGTTTATAGTTTTCTCGCTATTCCAATGTTCAACTCTAAGTTGGTGGTCTGATCAAGCTCGCGACACTCGTTTAGCAGTATTTATCGTGCTCTTACGTGTTGAACTATTTCGCACGCTTCGGCAAACGAAATAAGAACATATTACCACTTTCCCACGACTGAGCAAAATAAACGCTTGTCCAATATCTTTCCCGATTACATCCCTAAGCAAACAGTGTCGTAAATGAAGAAAAACAAAGAGCGCTCTCTTATCTTATCTCTTAACTGCAATTATGTAGGCCTTCAGCTGCTGCCACGCCACACCGAACGAGACGAAATGCGATCTGCTAATTAAGTTTTCAAGCCGCGGAACAACACATCTTGAGCAGCAACTTTATGCCTCGTTCATCAAGACATGACGATGACACATTGCAGGACGTGAGGATGTGATTGTCCAATGCGGTGCTTTCTCTCTCTCTAAAAACCCCCTTGGACTTAAATGCACTCCAGACCGAGTGATGGTCAAGATAAGTAGCTAAAAGCCAGAAATTATCGACACATCAGAAGATCCACAGGATTCGTCACAGTGCACTTGCAACAAAACATAACTGCAGTTCCTCTATTTTGACGTCGGTATATTTGTGGTGAAATTTATCACGAATATGCTTCAGACGAACCACGGAATGAGTATTCCTGCGCTGGTTCCGCCGCGATTTGAAGAGCCAAACTACGGGATGAACACAAGTTCTCCAAGGCCACCACCGTTCTCGATGTGTCAACCCCATGCGTCCAACTCACTCGTTCCGTCTGCGCGAGTCTTGCAAGAGGTCCTGTACTCTAACGAGATGAATTACCCCAGTTATATGCCTGATATGCCCAACAACCAAAGCTTGCCTCTTCCATGGATGTCTTCTTGGCATCAGAGACAGAATCTGCCATACCTCGGTCACCCTCGCCCAGGTAAAAGCATCGTTGTGCTTTTCTACTTGATTACGAACGAGCGCGTGTTAAGAAAACCTGTTTTGAGTTGATCAAACGCTCTGCTCAGAGAGACATCCTGGTTTCATTTGACGCGCTTTAAAAACTTATCAATTCATTTGAACTCGAAATGCTCGTTAATAGTTGTCGTAGTTTTTATTTATGTGTTTATAAAACTTCTTTGAGTATTTGCATAGCCTTTGCAGTATGTTTGTTTATTTTCGATTCACACTTAGGGACACCCTAAGTCAAACACTGCTGGTGTAAATTAGCCGTTAGAAATGGCACGCGCAGTGTAACCTACAATTTGAGCGCAAATTTCACTAGCCACATTAGCACTCGCAAACAATTCGGCTGTCGCAGCTATCTTGCAATCGTAAAACAGCAAAAGGATTCGTTTAACCTCCAATAAACCCCGCTATTGATGTATACGTTAGAGAGCGGTTGGCGACGCAGGCGACAAGACAACCGTAAACTAGCGTCAAACAGGAATTGTTAGATGGAATATTTAAACAGTGATAGCCGGCTGTGGAATCTCGCTAGCGTGCGCAAGAATTGTATCGTTAAAAACTGATTGACAACTTCATCAAAGTAGCAAGCGTTCGAACTGAGCAATTATCGTGAAAAGGAATGAAATTAAGTCACTTTGCGGTCCTTCAAAATACTATTAAGCTGAGAAGATCGAAAACTAAACTATACTTTGAGAGTCGTCATCGAAAACCGCGCAGCGCGCTGTGAGTTTAGGATCGGGTTTTATCAGGTTATCGGGCACGAAATCTTCGGTCTGTATTTCTTAATTCCAAGGGATATCTTTTTCCTCACCAATTATACGGCTCACTTACAATTTCATAAATTGAGCAAGTTTACAAAATAAGACACAGGTTAACTTGCCGCCCGTCTGGTTCTCAATAAGATCAGCTTTTGTGAGGGGTTTTCAGCGCGACTTTAGAAATAGCCCAGCATTTATCTCCCTTTTAAATGAATTCCTTTTGATTTTAATAACCAAGGTCAGTTATTACCATGAATGTACTCTGTGATTAATTTGCTTGGCAGTAAAACAAAGAAAATAAATGTTTAGTTTTATCGACGTCATATCAATCTTCTATGCGATTTGAACTTTGTTAATGTGGGAGTTTTGCAGTTTCATTAATCCGCCCTCTCAAAACTCAGCTATTAATAAAATTGTTCAACAATTCCTGACCGGAAAAGGTAAATAAACAACTTGTTTCCGGGCTTGAGATAAAACAGCTCTTAAGTTTAGAGTGCCAAAAGAAAATATACGCAGAAATCACGAGGAACGTGCTCCACAAACCAACTTGAATTTCATTTCAGGGGAATTTTAATGGTTACGCAACGCAAACTGAAAAAAAGAATGCATTCAACGAAAACTCTGAAACACTATCTCTTTCAACAAGCGTATTTTCCTTTTTTTTTTTTTTTCGACAGGAGACTTTTACCCTTATCCTGAATATGGTGACATGGATGAATCAGGCATGTATCCCCCAAAGAAGAAACGGGCACGAACAACCTTCTCGGCAGAGCAACTCAAGCGATTAGAGAAACGCTTCGTAGGTAATCACTACATCGTCGGAGAAGAACGACAGAGAATCGCCAAAGAATTGGACCTGTCCGAAGCGCAGGTCAAGGTTTGGTTCCAGAATCGAAGGATAAAATTCAAGAGAGACGAAGAACTCGAAAAGCTTGGGAAAAGCAAAAAGCGTAAAGGGGAACATCATGTGCGAAAATGGCAACTAACGACACGGCATTTTGGACCCGAAACGGACACGCTATTCCACAGCGATTACGATAATACCTCTAGAAAGCATAATTAGAATCAATTTGTTCTTTAGAGCACTTTACAAGATAAGCAGAAACGCGCTGAAGGCTCGAAGGAAAATTAATTTAATACCAAAGAGGTTGGTACCGCCGCGCTAATGTCTTTTCCATCCATTCGGAACACTGACCACTGGCTGCGAAACTCCAAATTTTGTGAGCATATTGCTTCATGGCGAATTGAAGTACACTACTTCCTCTCTCTCTTGTAAATATTTTGTTAGTGTTAAACAGAAGAGTTTATAGGACACGAAATCAACTATTAGAAGCTATATAGGCCGATTAGATGACTCACGCTCCGGAACATCTGTAACAACTTTCGTAATGACCGTATAGGCCTCTAATGTTTTCAAGAAATGTCAAAGTCTTTGGAGTTATTAACGGCTTTTTAAGGTGAACAGATTAACACTGGTTTCGCTGATGCGATAGTCTCTACAAACAGCTTTTACTCCGTATGAACTTCCCGGATAATATGCCCTAATGATAACTAATTATATCGTTCAATAAATGTCCGTATCACCGGCTAGTGGAGGCAATGGAACAACAACAAATGTAATCTGTCATAGGTGCTTTTCCTCAAGTGGCCTTAAAAGCTTGGTAAATCTGTGCTTATGTTCCAATTGTACATATTTCAAAAGTATTCTGTAGTTAGATTCAATACCAAAAACATTTATGCGTTTACCGCAGCTTTGCGCGCGGGAAAAGCTTCTCAAGAGTCATTGGATTTGCGTGATCTCGGTTAAACCGCAATTTCCATGTTATTTATAACATACATGTTTATTCCACAAATAAAGAAGTTTATAAGACAAGTCATTAGTTTCTGTATATCTTGTCTTTTCTTCGGACTAAATTTCAAACTGACGATACACGTACATTTATATCCACCAGTGGATTATGTTGGGGCGTTTCCCAACGTGTTTGCGAAAAACTCGGTGGGTATAAGTTTTAACCACTATTAGGACACGGTCAAGTCAAAATATTCAGTTCAATCTGCCAGCAAGAACATTTCAATCGGTGTTGCTAACAGGTAATAAATTGAAACATATTTGTTTATTTTATCTCCAATTACTTTTTGTGACTTGTCGGTCGCTATTTACGCCAGTGAACATACAGCTCTTCACAGTAACTGCCTCCTATTTTAAGAAATGTATGAAGTCTCTGGCGAAACAACATGAGTTTAGCTTTGTTTGGGTCAATATCACAGCTGTCTTTTACTAGCGAAACACATTTTCTTTATCCTTATTGTAAACATATGACGAATATTTAAGATTTCAATGTTTTATCTCTAAAACTGACTTGCCCTCGATGAACTCAAAGCCGATAGTGATCTAGATATCCAGGGAATGTGACCATGTAATATATATTCGTTTGCCAATCACTCTGTGTTGTTCATATTCCATCGTGGTTTCTAGCACATTCCATTTCAATATCCTCCGGCTAAGAATCTGTTTTCCTACCACTTAGAAGTGGATGAAAAAAAAACCGTACACTGACAATTCTCCCTTGCATTTTTTGCCAAAGTTTATCCCTATACACTCCAGACACACCTACATATTTGTCTCGGAAAATTTCCCCAGTCCACGAGCACCACGCCGCATGCAACAACACGATAAGTTTTCTAATCCAGGAGTCCTTAAACGAAAGGATAACATTACGGGCTTATCTCCACGATCCAAAGTAGGTTATCTAGAATGAAACAATTTCCGACATGACAGATCGGTATGAGTGACTGCATGAATATCAACTACTGTATTGGCAGGAGAGATATCTGTTTTTTATTTGTAAAAGTAGGTCGGCTACTTCTGTAGTGTGTTTTATTCTGTTATTTCGGTTAACTCTTTGACATAATTCCAATTTCCACACCGAGTTTTGACTTTCCAAATGTTACGGCTCCTTTTTGTAAGAAATCGTAATGGATAAATTTACCCAACGTTCGCTGTAAAAAAGCTTTTATGCATCCATCGTGTTTCGATGACTTCTGCGCCCTTTTAAAAGGAACTCGTAGATAAGAAAACCGCCTACTTTCATTTAATCAATATGCAATTGTTTGGTATTTTACAAGAGCGTCCCCTTAACTGAATCATCGCCTGTTATGTGCAAAGTTTGAAAAGAGGGCCTAATTTGGTCATTAAGTACAATGTTATGCATAGAGAGCTCGAACTCCACATCACTCAGATAGTTGCACTGTTCCGCTTTGAGGGGAATATCCCAGTTAAGGATTTTCTCACAGCTTCTGAAAATAACTGAAGGCAGGAGGTCAAAGGATTTGACGGTGTGAGCAAGTTGTTCCGCAGATAATATTTTTTTGCGTGTTGAGGTACGATAAACTTAATTCATCCTGAGTTACAGAGATCGCTAAAAAGTTAGCAGAACATTCTACACGAGTGTCGTTTGAGAGACAAAGGCTCTTTTCCCAGCCAACTGTTCTGATGTCCTTTTGAGTGACCAAAATTCATTAACATTTAATTTACAAGACAATGACAACGACAAAAAATTTTTTGATCGTCAAATTTTCTCTTTTACAGGACTGCTCTTGACTTTTAATAGTTTTCCTCAACGAACTTTGTGCAAAGCAAAGAATTTTCCATGACTGTTATTTGTCTCTTAATAAAAGGCTCGAGTTGGTAACCAAAATACTGTGGAACGTTTAAAAAAGATGTCACATAAGAGACACAATTGAAAACTGTAGCCTGTAACCTCTGGTAAACAGCATGATGGGTCAGAGCGCTTTTCGAAAGAGGGTCGTAGAGCCAAAATCGGAGTGATCGCAGCGGCAAGTCAAAGTAAAGGAAATACTACAGACTACAGACAAAATCGCTTTCAAGTATCGGTTTTTCTTATTTTCGTCGATCGGTCTACAAAGCCGACGCCTCTTATCTCCTCACCTACAATATCGTGTGCAAAACTAATCTTTAATCGCGTCTTGGTCACACGCGTCCTTTGTGGCTTCTTATTGGATCCTAGTGAGATCTTTCCTCGCTATGATTGGCCTTTACGATTTATCTGGTTTTGGTTTTTGAATTTCAATCGGAAAGCGGTGTGACAGACTCTTATACCTTCCCCCAACCGAAAAAATGACCTAAGCACCTCAGTATGCTAATAACTTTATGCTCAGGTAACCATCCCTCCGTAATGCACTTCAGAGGTACCACATATGTCCGTTATTCAAAATGCAGCTCAAGTTCATCAGAGCCTACGCAATTTGCTGCATAAGAAGTTCGGTTTTTGAACAAGTGTTTAATCTCAGTGTGCTTTATCCTGCATAATGACAAGTAAAATGTGCTATCGTCTTTAAATTGCGAAGGGAATGGGAAGAAGGGCGCGAGAATTTTCGCGCACACTACGCGCGTCACGAAACTTCTCAATGCGTTTACTATTCATGCGCGAATTCTCACGCATACTATGGTATACTCTTTTTTTCTGATCAAAATTTTGGATGTTTGAGACAAGTGTCACATATACAGTGAGAGTAAAACATGGAAAGGCTGGCATGTCATAAAACGACTTTTGGCCTGTGCGTTAATTTACTCATTATATGGATATAATGTAGTTTACACTCCATTCCTGAACACTGAAAAGAATTCCTGTCACATTTCCCGGTTAAAAAAATTAGATGTTCGTGTTTTGGGTTTCCCAAGTGATCGTCAGCGAACGAGAAGCGCGAGAGAGAAAAATGATATATTATCCTTTTTTGCTTCCTTGCCGCTCGTGTGACTCTCGCGCGGCGTTCGCGTTTGCTCTTTAGACTATTTGAAGAAAATCTGTATGGTTTTAAATTTGCAAATTACAGTTTTTCTCTTCCTCTCCCTCCTTTGTATTATTTGTATATTTCCGCGCGCCGAACGTGATTTAAAAAATTAGCCAACACGTCAAAAATCTCCAACCTTGAATCTCTAACATTGAAAACTAACGTGGACATTTTTCGCGTACTTTTGTTGTTTGTTTTACAGAGTTGATAGTTTTAGTTTGAAGCTTTCGTTCGCGCAAATTTGTTACCCCTTTGTTTGGAATTTGCGAAGTTCTTTTTTTTTTTTTTGTCAAATGTCGGGGTTCATTTAACAAGTTTGATACATATTTGCTATGGAGATTGGACTCTAGTTAGCCTTTTTTTTTATAAATGGATTTTCTAATTTCAACACCATCGCAGCCCGATGAAAATGACCATCTTGGTTTTGATTAGTGGTTAAATTTTTGACTGAAATCGAATAAAATCAGATACCAGGGAACGTTCATCTGCTTATCGTTCAGCTGAGTGTTGTGCTTGATACCCTTAACAGTAGGTACAGAAATAACATAATGGAGGCACTTGCGAGGCACGTGCTGTGATTAAGAAAATCAAAAGTGAGAAAATCGAAAGAAATTTGGCCATGAATTAGCCATTTTACGGCTTCATCTTGTTTTAATCGAGTCAAAATAATTTTCTGTGCTTAACCTTAAACGAAGAACGTTGTACAAACTTCCATTTTTTCTTTATTCCACATACCGCATGCCCCAGTCCGTTAAGTCTAGTCTCATAATCTTTAGAGCGTGAGAGACTGGGTAGTAACTTGCGTTTAATCGCCCCATTCTTCAGCACCTTTAGCAGTGGAGAAGCGTCACGCAAGCAGGCGGGCTTGAAAAAGAACATGGCCGCGAGAAATTTCTTGATACTTTTCTGTTTCTTCAGCCATAGTGCTCTAACTTGGGAAACTCTACCATATTGTGGAAGTGATTCTTATAAATACACCCCATTGCAAAGGGGAGACAATGGAAAAGAATATACCCTCAAACAAGTACATGTGATAATCAGGTGAGTTTTAATAGACGCATTTGTTCAAAACAATTTTTTCTTTTCCCCAATCTTTCGAATCTTTTACAAGATTTACATCAAGCTATTTCCACGGGTCCTCATTTTCCTGGAATTTGGATGTGAAATAGTCGTTTTTAAAATTGCGTGGTTTGTTTCTCCGAATGTTGTAGGGAAAAGCAGACTTTCCTTAACACGAATTATTTCCTTTCCAATCAGTTTACGGTTAGTTTGTACTTTAAGACTCCAATAGGCTTGAACTTTCTTTTAAGGTGTAAGGTTGATTTATCGATTGTTTGATGAGGTTTTTTCTCCCTCTCTCTCCCTTCTTTTCATTTTGAGAACAATTACCTCTCGATCTAGAAATAAGTTTTGCAAGTGGATTCATGTTCCCGGTCACGAGACTTGCAAACAGTAGCGGTGACAAAATTGTCGTTGGCTAAAGTATTAAATTCGACAAAACTTAAATTCAAAACGTAACGTCTAAATCACAATAGAATTTCTCCAAATTACCTTTCCATACTTTTAAGTTTGATTATGTAATTAGTTCGCCCTAATTTCAGTACCTAAGTTCAATTTGTGTTGCAAATCATATTGGACAGTTTGTGTTTGCAAAAAACTTCAAAAAACAGGCACCTCTGTCTGGACCAGTATACAAAGTCACCCATTTTTCATGGCAGTGGCTGGCATACAAGGTCCTGAAAAGCACTTCATGGCACTACTGCCAGTAAAATTAATGTTAGATGGATTCTAATACTAATTTTTTTTTAAGGGCTGGGGTAGTTTATTTAAGGAATTTTTCAGAATTGATTTCCATGTTTTGGGTGTTTTTTGCGAATTGTTAAGGTCTAAAACTCTATGTGCTTTAGTGAAATATATATATTTTTTATCAGTATTAAAAAACTTATAAGGTATAAATGAAGTGTTAATTGATATCATGTCTAGCTTTTCCTTTTGGGGGGGGGTGGGTGGGGGATTGATTTTTGTCACTAAGGAATTATCATTGACACCCCTTAAAATTCATGATACCCCCTCCCTCCCCTTCCCCCTAAACTCATCTTTCATCTTCTCAAGTCTTCCCCAAGTTAACTGATTTCAGGAAGGCTGTTACAATCCAAATTGTTTTCCTCTTTTTTGTCATTGTTGACAACAGACACGGTGACAGAACAAGAGCAGAAGCTGCTCCCTGTTGGGCTAATGACACAGCTGTGTGGGACTGCCTATTGACGTCTGCTTCTCTGCCTGTCATCAAACATGACATCCATGATATAACAGTGGACAGGATCTACAGAGATGGTAGATATTTTAGTTATTGCATATTGTATTTTGTTCATATGTCAAATCCAAATTTTTTTAATGTTATCAACTTTCATTGCAACTCTCTTTCTGCTGATTTATAAGCTATTTAGTGGGTAAATTTGTGAATTAAAATTCATTTTTAATTTTCATTGTCTATTAATTTCCAGCCATCTAAAAATGGGCTCAACAACTTTTCACATATTTAATTTTTTTGGAATATCTATTTTAAAAAGGGATCATCAATGCATTTGGATAATTGTAAGACATGCCTTGATTTTCGTTGTTCAAATATGGAAAAATCTTAACACTTGAGCAGTCTAATGATTTCATTGTAAACAGAAGTTTATGATATACATCAGTCTGAGAGTTTTTTCTGTGAATAACAAAAAGATAAAGAAGTCCTTGAAGGAATGATAAATTTGATGCGTGCTTGTTTTCTTTTAAATGACACACAGTTTACATACCTGGTCGTAATGACATGAAAGGTGACTGTGGTTTGGGTCATCTGACTTCTAAGGGATACAAACAGGAGGAGGATAATGGAAAGAATCTGCGCAAAGTATATGTTGATACTGGGTTCCTTTCCCCCAACTACTCCAATCGTGAAGTGTTTTTTCGAACGGATGGTGAGTGTTTTAGCAGAAGTTTCATCTTTGATTGAAACAAATTGTGGGAAAGCCAGAATTTGTGAAAAGTATATGTTGATACTGGGTTTCTTTCCCCAAATTACTTTAATTATGAAATGTTTTGTTAAACAGATGGTGACTGTTTTAGAGGTAGTTTTGTTTTTGATTGGAAAAACTTGTGGGAAAGTTAGAGGCAAATAACTTTGGAGGTCAGTTATGATGGTTCCTATGGGGTCTGTGAATAACAAAAGCATAGGTGTCGGAGATTTAAAAGCCTTGAAATGTGTTTGTGAAGTGTCAATGTTTATTGGAAAATGCAAGAAATTATGTTGTTGTGCACTTTTTCTGCAATTTGGATTTTTCATTTTTTGTTTTGACAATTTTCACAGATATGTCAAGAACAAGACAGGTCAGTTCAGTATTCACATCAATTGTCAAACTGTGTTTTCTCTGCAACTATATGTCCCAACTTTAATCTAAAAAGTTGAAATTTTAAAAGTTAGATATTCAGTTTCGTGTTGTTGATGTTCATTATACATACAGCTGTAATAAATAACTAAAAATACTGTAATGTCGTAACTGTGCAGCCATTAAGGAAAACTGCAGTTGCACTGGGCTTTGGAGGCCTTCAACTAAAATTGACACTGTTGAAGACAAAAATTGTTCATTATGCTGCCCTGTTCAAGATGAGAATTTTCTTAGATTGTGGTATTTTAGCCTCATGGAGCCAAGTCTGGCTTATTCAGACAAAGTATGGGATTAGATTTGAAGAACTTTAAAGTTAGACCAAGCATATCATCAACATGGGGAACAATCATACCCCATTTAGGACTTTGGGTTTAGAAATATATCTGTTCGCCTGATAATTTATGTGAAATTCTGTACACTTTTTGAGATTCACTTTTGGCTGCACCCACCACGCCTGTCTAGGTCAAGTAAGGGATTGTTCTTTCTATCAGGAAGAGGAGGTTTTAAAAATTTACTCTCTCACATCATTATGCATCATCTCCATACTGTTCTCTACACATTTGCCAAGGTGCTGACAAGGAGAAGTTTTGTAACAATCAAGGGCTTCCTTGGTTGGCGATCATTTCCTTTATTCTCATAACCTTAATGTGTGATTCAGGGGTGATATTGTTGGGAGAAATTTGATGCTAGTCATTTTTGGGGTCAAAGGATTAAGACTCGAAAATACATTATTTTCTCTACAGTCTGCTCAAGCTCTGGCTATAGGTATGTTTCCACCCTCCGCTCCATTGTCAGGCAAATCTCAAGTCGTCGACATTAATGTGATGGACAAAGAATATGATGACATAGAACCAAATCCCAAGTGAGTGATGTATAAGTGATTTCAAAATTGATTGATTAGTTGCACAACAGTCTATTTATCCCTTTAATTCCCAAGATCTGATTGTTAAATCTCTCCTCTATCTGCTTCACCTTTTCTTGTGAATTTGTTACAAGAATTTTGTGTTAGATCAAGATAAAAATTTCTACCTGATGAGCTTGTTTATTCTCATTACCTGCTTGCTGGATTATATGGATATTTTAGGGAGAAGTTGCATGTTAATCACTTCAGGGAGTTATTTAACCCTTTACACCCTGACATCAGTATGCATATTCTCCATACTCTTCTTTATACATTTCCTAAGGTGCTGACAAGGAGAATTTGTTTGCCAATCAAAAGGTTCCATGACCTTTAGGTGTCATTCAAGAGTGATATTGTAGAAAGAAATTAGATGCTAGTCACTCTTAGGGTCTAAAGGGTGAAGAGTTAAGCTGATTGCATGGTCTTAGGGTGAGGGTCATGTGTAGTCTGTGGGGGGGGGGTATCAATTTGTTACTGAGTTGGAACACTAAAGTACAACACCTGTGATGCATACTACAATTATTTGCCTTTTCAGTCTTTGCCCTAAGGGTGCAGTTTTTCAGGGAATGTGCTAATGAATGAAAATTGTCACAGGATGTAGTCACCTCTGATGGGGATCTGATCAAGGAATGGAAGAAACTGTTTTGTGTGATTGTGAATAAGCATTGTCAGAGCCAAGTGGGGATGGTTTTTTTTTAGTTGGACTGGGCAATAAGTGAAATGTTGTCTATCTGGGTCACCCACTGTCCAAGATATTTCTTATTGCAGTTTCTTTTCTGTATTTCACCCACCCCCCCCCCCCATGCTCCGTTTATAATCTTCCCTTTGAGTCATGTGTAGTCTGTGGGGGGAAGGGGGGGGTTATCAATTTGTTACTGAGTTGGAACACTAAAGTACAACACCTGTGATGCATACTACAATTATTTGCCTTTTCAGTCTTTGCCCTAAGTTAAATCAATATCGGAAAGAGTTCTTTGCATCTGAGTCTTGGAAACAGCATTACAATGAAATAACTGAACCACTAATGGCCGAAGTTGAAAAAGCACTTGGTCTCACATACAAACTGAGTAAGTCCTTTATTCCCTTTTTTTTGGCCCCAAGCTTGGTCATACCTTTCACGTTTGTGCCTTTCTCTTTGACTTCACCCCAGCAAACGAGGTAACCACCAACTAAATCAGCAGGATGTGCTATTGCGAATTAATACATAGAACATATTTGGATTTCTTGTAAATTTGTTCACTTTTACTTACTCAAACTTAAGTGTATTTTATACGTGTTTGATTTTTTAAACTGATGAACGTGGACGGTGTAACCCGGATTATGGACGAAAACCTCTGCAAATTGTGGTTAAAAGTCGCATTTAAAGCTGCATACCTGAGAAACTGAGGGGAATGAGGCAGGTGCTTGGAGGCCAGGCCTTAAGATACGTCAGTTCCATGAAAGTTATCATTAAATAGTCCTTCTGAAGTAAGTCTGCTATCTGAGACGTCGGCTTAAGTTTCCGTTGGGATGTGGAGCTCCGGCTTGATTGGCCACTTGGCTCGAATTGGACTCTATCTTTTTTTATACATGCCTTTTTTTCATTGCTTCTTCGCAGCGCCCGAGGGTTTGATCCATATAGCAGACTGCCTTTTAGTCCACATTTGTCATGGGTTCCCCATCCCACCCAGTGTATCCTCAGACCTTGTGGAGCGCGTTGCCAGCGAAGTAGAATACATGTGGTATGCCACCTTTGAATACCCTACCATACAGGATCACGCCAAAGTAGGCATTGGATTTCTGATCAGCGAGATATGGATGGTAAGGAAGTGTGGCTGGTATTTGTGAAGAGAACACCTTTGCTGCACTGTAGTTAGAATTGAGGAAGCCAGTCGTTTAGAACAACAGCTGCTCATGTTTCGCTTAGGAGTGGTTTTGCCCTGAAGGGAATTCATTTCGCCCGGAAGGGTATTCGTTGCGCTCGGACGGGAAGTCAGTTTCGCTCTGAGGGGAAGTCGTTTCGCTCCTACCGGGCGACACAATTTATTTTATTATTTATTTTATTATTTTATTATCAACGTTGCTCTTCTTGATGGTTAAGCGCGATTTTGCGTATTTTGCTTTAGAACACAACGCCGTAAATCAAATGACTGGTTCTTGGTAAAATATCTTAGTAACACTATATTGCTCCTTAGGCGATGCAAGAAGCTATGAAAGAAAGTAAAGCGAGAAAGTTTTATTTGTATTCTGGCCACGACTCCACAGGTACGGTAGAGTTGTTTCATACGAAAAAATAATAATATGTGTCGTAGTTGAGGAGAAAAAGAGGGTAAGATACTCAAGTGAAGATCAGGTCTTCGGCTCTTTGATTATCCGAAGATAAGGGATACCTTGGCGGTGTTGACATCATCGGGCTGAGATCGTATCACGGTCGAATGTTTTCGTTGCTGTGGGTAGCTCCTGGCTCACGTTCGGTTTGGAATATAAAAAATAATAGTTTGAGGATCAACTGCAAAGGGGGGGGGGGGGGGTTGAGTTTAGTCAGTGCATCTCCACCTAGTAACTGTTCGGGAGACGCGGGTTACGTTCGACTGCTCAGGTTATGATCGGTTCTAATGGCGTTCGTTTTCTTCTTCAGTTATGCCCTTCATGAAAGCCTTCAACGCCAGCGACGGCAAATGGAGCCCGTACGCCTCCATGATTCAGCTGGAATTACTGGAAACTACCAGTTCAAAAAACACGGATTATGCCGTAAGGCTGCTTTACCATGGCCAAGAACGAGTCATCCCATACTGCCGCGTGTCTCCATGTCCGCTGGCCCAGTTCAGCGAGTACATGCAGGCTATTACCCCTCAACACCCGGATACAGATTGCAAAGTGACCAATGCAAGGCCCATGAATAGGGCACGACCACAGCGTTTTAGGACAGTTAGAGTTTTCGCATAATTAAATCAAACACGAGCTACACGCTAACACTAGGTGAATCGAGAAAAGGGCTAAGCCCTGACACGTGATGACCCGTTTCCTTCGTTTTTCTATGTGAATGTATATGCCATTTTTCTTCAATTAATTCAGAATTTTTCAATGATATTGAATGGGAATTCATCGTATTCCAATCTAGGAGACAGTTGAACTGTTTTTATTAACTTAATGAAACAGTCAATTGACAACAAGTTAAGGTTCATGTTGGGTTAGGGGAGGGGTAGGTGTGCAGTTGCCCAGATACTGATATTGATCCGTAATTTCACTAGGTATTGTTTGAGATGCTTTGACTTTTTGGTTGGGTTTTTTTTACCTGAGTTATTTTGTTTTGTAAATTTCACCGAATTAATTTGTATTGAGGGGAGGGGGTTTCGTATTTAAGTAGCTGTAGTTTTTTTTTGGTAGTAATTTTTTTACACAAAGTAATTGACGGAAAGTCGTAAGTCGGAAGATCCTCAAATTTAGTAGCTAGTTCCACAGTAGTAAAGTTAAAGCTGTCTTAGCTATCACGGACCGCCTAAGTGTGTCTGCCTCTTGAAGCTTATTGGGACTTTTTGATATACTTTTTACGTTATTTTTCAACTGAATTATCGATAAAGAAATCAAAAAAACAGAATTGCAATAAAATGACAAAAACCTTTTTAATAACTTCGCATTTAGATGTTGTTCACATATTCCACACTCTTCTCTTTCCCACTTTGCACCGTTGTAGCTCTATGGCGTCTGAATTCAATTTCCCTCCCAAAAATCTATGTTTGCCCAAATTTTCTTGGCTGTGGTGTTTTCCAATTTTCCGGAAGATGAGAATCTTAGCGACATACTTGGTCAACGTAAAGTGTAAATCTAATCTGCCAGAATTCTGAGCAATTTTTGCGGAGGCAAGATTTCATAATCTTGGCGAAGACCATTCAAAGATGGCAAAGTCTCTTTTTGGGGGAGAACCAGGGGGATTAGTAGTCATAAGCAGAATATAAGGAGACTACAGGGGGGGGACTATGGAAAATCGACAGTCAACCGAAGAGGGGGGGGGAGTTGTAACAATATTACAGCGCCTAATAGGGGGATCGGATAAATTTTACCGTAACAGAACCAAAACCCTCCAAACCGCGCCCTCCTCCCAGCCAAGAAATAATGACATTTAAACATTTTTAAAAACAACGACTGCTTCTTCTGTAGAACATAAAATTTCTTTGTAACAGACATCACGCCTCACTTTCACTTTTATCCCCCCCCCTTGTTTTTGTCACATGGACGTCTTTTTAGCTTATACCATAATCTTCTTCACTTTTGGCATGAAGCCCAGGGGCTCTTAATTAATATGACCTTTCACTTATTGGAAAAATGTAATTCACTCGTCACTCGGACGAAATTGCGAAAGTTGATCCTCCGTCAGATTCCACGTGTTGTTGACCTGGCAACCTACGGTGCTTTAAATTCGATTGTTTTGCAATCATTTATGATCTAGCGCTATTTGCAACGCAACATCCGACTTCTAGTTGTGTCTAAATTAATCTTGCTCAACGATAGTCAAACTTGTGAGCTGTGGAGATTTTGCTGTCGATTGCGTTTCTGACTCTCTTTCAGCGGTTACAGTGAATCAAGGTTTTTCGGATTTTTGGCGTGTTCTAAGCATCTTGTAAGTATATTACTAACACTTATTTGAGTTCAATGTTCACCAAGCATTATCACCTCCTACAAAAAAAACTGTTTTCTTTTGAGTAATTGGTGTATTGCAGTGTTAAATTTGTCTCCGTAATTGAAGTTATCGATTAAGTAATTTATTCGGCGCATTATGGTTAGAAGCGATGTTGCTATTTGTACAAAAAGATAGAAATACCTCAAATACGTAAAATTTAACGTGCTGTGTAAAATTATTTGTGGTATTTTTTGATCAACGATTGATCTTGTAGTACTTGGCGCTTGTTCTTTTGCCAAGTGTAAGTGATTATCTGAGATATTATTTATCAGAAGGAAACATGAGGCTCCAATGGATAAAATCAGTCAACAGGGCAATCTATGTGAATATTGCTACTTCTTTATACAACCATAATCTTACAGATTAAGAAAAACTGTCGACAACTATCGTGTATATTTGATTTGAGCGACTGTTTCATTCTGTTTTATCTTCATCTTGTCATGTTCCTTAAGCCAATGGTCTGAGAAAAATTTTGAGATTCTTAACTAGTAAAAATGATGAAGATTCATTTGACTCCTTTTTTGCGCAAATTTTTTTGTACCGATGGTTGCGGTTAAACAGTTAAACCATTTTCAAAATTAAGTTTTTAAACTTTAGGTTTTTGTCGTTCGCGCAAATATATTTTTCCCATAATATAAGCACTTCCCAACGCACTTCAAAACATCTTCCTCGATTAAAACGATATCTTATCATTAAAATTAGCTTTATTGAAAGTTTTCCAGATTTTCTTTCAAAAGTAATCGGCGCTCAACTTCTGGCAAGCCGAATCGGTGAGAGAATTTTATCACTTGCCACTCCTGTCTGTTAAAGCATCTAGCTTTCGTGGTTTTCCCCTTATTTGGTAAAATTAATCAGAAGGTTGTCAAGCAGTCCAGTAAAAATTGAGAAAAAAATATATTACGACACGCATGTATCACGACACTTTCCACCCTTGTCGGAGAATGTCACTTGGTAACAGAGATCAAGTGCAAATCACTGGATTAAGTTGCTAAAATCTTAAAATCCACTTCAAGGTTCCAAATTGAATGCAGCCATCGACGTAAACAACTTAAAGTGGCCGAAATGCCATTGCAGTAAAATACAGAGTAGTTGACAAACAAATCTTTGCAGCAAATAACGGATTGTACTCGAGTAGGAGCTAATTTCATCGGTGCGTTTGTGAAGTTTCCTAAAAAAAAGCCCCCGTGTTTTGTGTTGTTCTGTGCTATGTAGCTCCATAACAGAAATCTCTGACAAATACGATACTTCAGCGAATAGTATTTCTCTGAATTTCGTTTTCGTTTTCGTTAAAAATACAGCTTGGTTAGAAAGATTTATTTCGTAATTTCGAACAAATATCCTAATAGATCTTTAGTTACAAGGTCTAAAAACTGAGTTGACTACGCGTATCACTAGAATTTGTAAATCGATATTTTGTGGTAAAGGGAGGCGGTCTTAATCAAATTCTTCACGGCATTTCAAATAATTCTGCTTATTATGGTTTCTTAAGAAATTGTTTAAATTGACAGAGAAACGTATGGCCAGAAAAATAGGGTAAACTGAATAATTATGAAACGTCTTTCGAGTAGCTGACACTATCTTTACAAATATAGGCAATACAGAAACGCTGTAAGTTTCTAAAAGAAATTCTGTAGTGTTGCGTCTCGTGAGTTGGGGATATAACTATACAAGAGACTATAAACTGTGATCATATTTTCTTGAACAAAATAATTTAGTTTTATTAACTGAGTGCTAATGTTAATTGGCCTCCGTAAAGAGTTTTTTAAAGCCGACTTTTCGAGTGTTAGGCCTTCGTCAGAGCGTAAGTTACCAAAGAAACTGTGGTGTCTCTTCGGTGGGGTATAACAAGAGAATTTAATTTTATGAATTGAATTGATAATGCCAATTGGCCATCGTAAAGAGTTTCTGAAACTGACACTTAGAGCGTTAGCCTTCCGTCAAAGCGAATTAATAAATAGGTAATTTAGTGTTAACAACTGAGTTGAAAACGTAAATTAGCCACCGTAAAGGGTAAAAAAGCTGACGTTTCGAGCGTTAGCCCTTCGTTAGAGCGATTGTTTGTATACCTTTTCAATTTGTACACCTTTTCGTCAGACCGAATTAATAAATACACAGTTTGAATCGACGGCCAAGTAGCCTGTGAAACAGAGTGTTGTCTGATGAAAGTATTGATAGATTCGTGATGCATTCCAACCTAATGTCAGTTTCACCCCATTGTTTATCACCTGAGGAAGGGGGATTGGGGGGGGGGGGGGTACGTCGTCGGATAATTTTGTATTTTGGTTGTGACACAATCAAAAATTTACTTGATCTCTCCATGAAGCTATTTAATATTCTTGTGATTACTCGGTCCTATTACCATTATCAATCGATAACTGATTTAGTAAAAATCCGGGCTTTTGAATATAAACGCTTCTCAAATTAACCATATCTTTTGTGATTATTTATTTTACAGCTTTGTTCTGATCGCTCCGAACATTCGAGGCACAGAAGACCACGAGAGGCGAGAGATCAGTGAAACAATGCAGAATGAGGATGAGGGGTGAGTTGATATTAGAAGGTCTTTTAATTTACCAGACAGCAAACCTTGTTCTTAGAGTTTTAACTCTATTAGCAGGTTCTCGCTGGCTTCGCGATGCCACCTGTGATGCTGCGAGGTTTGGTAGTTTCCTTCACCCTACCGACTCCCCTCGCCAGTCGCGTTGTTTTTGGCGGTTTCACGGGTCGCACCACAACGCCTGCTCCGATCCATCTAAGGCTGTCGTAATCTCCCTCTCCTCCTCTCTCGTCTCGAGTTAAAGAGGATGTGGAAAAGGGAACAACCTTGAAAGGAATTTTCACATGACAAACAACACTCTATGATCTTAAAAGTTGAAGCATGGCACATATATAGTCGCTTTTCGCGCCTGAAATATGACAAGGAAGATCTCATCGCAAATGACCCGAAAGCACTGAAATAGGACCAAATAGCATTAACCCTTAAACTTTCAGAGGTGATTAAAATGTAACGTCTCCCTACAATATCCTTATACAACCCAGCAAACAGGTAAAGAGAATATTCAAACTTATCAGGTAAAAGTTGTTCTTTTGATCCAACACCAAATTCTCGTAACTCATTACAAGAAAATGTTTGGGGGATCGTGGGGAGATTTTACAAACGGATCTTGGGAGTTACAGTGAACAAGAAGACCGTCCGCTCGTTAATTCTTACAGGAACAGAAGCTTTTAGGTAGATAATATCATCTTATTTCAACAAAACATCGGGAGGCTGATTTGTGGCTGAGAGCACTTTGTTTTCGCCAGGAACTCGTTTATTTAGTGACAAGCCCGTGTGATGGACGGAGGAGGGGTAGGGATTAGTGTGTTATCTGCAATATGTCGGTTACCTCTGGTACCAGGGTTCATTTGCAGTGAACCACTTCTATGTTTTAAGTCTCTGAACCTATATATTTTTGTACAGGAGAAAGCTAATAATACATTTGTCTCATCCGATTATACGGAAAAGAATCTTGATCGCCTGTTCAATCTTTATGGCTTGATTTAGTGTCGAAGACTTTGACCTTTCTCTAAGCCCCTTCCGTTTCGATTGATTTGCGTGCAAAAATGACGAAAACATTAACGAAGACTTGTTAGCCTGAGCTCGCCTTTAAAGAGGATTTGATTAAAACGACCCTTCCACTTTTTATTAAACGCCCTTTTCTTCTTTTTAATCTGACTTCCGATTCGCATCATTTTTCGAGTGAACAATGTATTTTTCATTTTAACACATCGCCTTCGCTCTCTCTCGTCGCTTTCTTGAAACTCGGTATAAATGTTTGTAGAATGCGATCAGAAGTGCTGAAGTTTCCTTTTAATTCAAGCTTAGGACGGCATCCAAGCTTTTGTTCTCCGTTCGAACATTTGCACAATGCAGCGATCATGCCAGAGAACTGGTCATTGCCTGTATTTTTATCTCGATGTCTCGGATATGAAAATAATCTCGTTTAATCCGATATCCGATTTATCACTTCCTTTTGATTCCTAAATGGGGCCTTTGCTTTTACAGCTGATTGTCTAAAAGTTGCGCTATGAATGTGTGGTTTAAAGATAGTTTTCAGCATTTTTCTGGGAAGCTTAACGCACGATTTCGCTTCAAGATGGTTTAGACTGAACACTACTGATAAATATTGTAACCTTCTCTGTTCAGTCTTAATCCTCGCCCTAACATAAGTAATCATATTCTCCATACTGTTTCTATACATCTCCTAGATTTCTAACAAGGAAAATTTGTTTAACAATCAAGAGTTTAGTTGGTAAATGATGATTATTCCTTTCACTCTCGTGACCTTTATGCTTGATTCAGGTATGATAATGTAAGGAGAAATTAGATGCTGGTCATTCTAAGGGGTTTAAGGGTAAAACGGAGCTACCTTAAAAAAATAATATCAAAAAATAATTAAAAAATAACAGAACAAAAAAAGTATTACTCGCGACAAATACAAAACCTCACCAAAACTGCTTCGATCGCGTAAACAAAGCACAAAATTTGTTCCCGTCCCACCGAGTGACAAGGACTGAAACTTAAGTCGTTAACATTTTTTTATTCTTGCACTGCTTGACTTGTTGATACCCTCGGAAAATTAAAACAATGAAAAGATAACAACCTTTCGCTGCCGTTGTACAAATCAATTTGAGACTTTTCAAAATCAAGGCTAGGTAATCACAAGTTCTGAGCTTCAATAAGGGCTGTAAATCGATTCACAGGAAAGGTACGGATCTCATTAAAATCCATGTGTCGTGACCTGAAATTTTCGTCGGTGTCCGATTGCAAATAAAAAAAAATGTGATTCAATTTTGATCGCAATGAAGGGTATTGTCCGAGAAAACAATTTTCTTTGAAGTTTCAAGAGCTTCTTCCCCTGGGAGTCAACGTACTTCATGTGCTTCTGTTATTGTTGCCTTGGCAACGACGTATACAATCAATTGTATATGACCCCACGAGAAATGAATATCATTTGATTCATTCTTGATAAGACCGCAATTAAATGATAAAACTTGTGGTAGCTCGAGGGCATTCTGGTGAAAAATCGCGTGGGAAAACAATGAAGGTTCCTTGTCTTTTTCAAACGTCGAAGCCAGAAACTGGAGGCGAAGTGTCGCTTTACTAGAGCAAGCAAGCAACTCCAATTTCGCATTGGTCTGTTCACGTTGAACCAAATTCTCCAGAAATGTCGCAAGCAGTTCAGAGGCCGAGAATAACCCACACTGCCGTGACGGTTCGTCCCAAGTAAGTAGGTTGCTTTCTTTAAAACAGTAACGGTTCACATTATATTGTCAGGTTTGGAGAGTTTGTAATTGCTTCGGACTGACGCGCACTTCTCGCACAAGAGCAGCCTTCCCTGTCTTATAAAGTACGCCAACCTTTTCAGACATTTTGAAGTGTCTGTGTTGATATTTACAAAAATCGCACCAGGTGATCAAAACAATAATTCGTGGCTGAATTTTTGATGAACTGCAAGCTTCAACAAAGCGCTCTTTTTCAGGCAAAGTTAGTCATACTGCGTTTATCGCTTTTAGATTCTCTTGGGACAATGATCACCCATTAAGTACACAGTTTACATGTAATCATTTGGTAAGAGAAGGGATGGTTTTTTTTTTATTGTTTTCAGCACAATGGTACATGCGTGGGTTATTTGTTCCGAATTTAGCCCCAAAACGGCTGCTTTCAACGTGTACACGTAAATAAATTATCATTTATCGATCTCAGTTTAGGATAATTTGCACAGTTCTGAGAACACACGGAATAAATCTAAAATTAAATGAAAATCGGGAAGTATAGGAGCGCAAAATTCGCTCTAATGGAGTTCAGTGGACAGAGCATGTTTGTTTTTCTTTTGTCGTATTATTTTAAATTCTGCATACTGAAATTGGTTCCTACTCCTTTCACAGTCAAACTAATAACTCAAAAGTCCCGGACAAACTAATAACTTGTTTTTCAAAATTGTCTCTTCCTTGCTCTTCGGTAGTTGTGAATTAAATCTGGCGCTTAAATGACTTTTCTTCTTGGTGTACAGAACAGTCTCTCGTTTTAAACTGGGTAAAGTTTGAAATAAAAAAAAATTGGCATCCAGTCCCAACGCGGCTGCGAGCAGAACCAAGCACCTGGAACGCACACTTTGTAATACGTCGAAAGGATTGCCAGATGTTTGCTCCCATAAAAATTTCTGTGCCTAGATTTTGTAAAAGAATTTTCCTGATTTTGGCATCATCTGAGTTTTAAGACCTTACCCATAGAACGTCGGTCAGTTGATTTTCGTTAAGATCTTACAATAAAGTTACTTTTAATGAAGGTAATTTGACGATCTTTGTAGAAATCTGAACGCCATGCCTTGGATCAATAATGCGTAAGTCAACGTTTGCTGTTTCGCTTTGTTGTTGTTACCATAATAACACCATCCTCTTTTAAGACATTTTCAACATAGCACTGATATCCTGTTTGAAAACAGAGTTTATACGAACAGGAAAGAGTGTTAGCATGCTAGCAGAAGTCGTTACTTTAAAAAAAAAATTTAAAACGAAGATTGCTCCTGAACCACAGGACTAAAAAGGGTTAGCAATAAGTTTGGTTATGAGTGAACTACGTTATTGTTCTAACATAAACTGGACTGTAATAAGCTTTGAATTCAGTGAATTTCCAAAAACCAGTCTGCCTTTAAACGAAATTTTCGAGAATTTCGCCGGAAATTGTTTCAATATGATTTTCCTGGCATGTTTGCAAACATGTTGCAAACATCCGTACGAGATCATATTGTACTCATTACTGTTGTCTAATTCTGTAATAGAGTTCTCAGTTTCAAACGTTAGTTAGTTAGATCTTTGCCGTCAGATGTTTTTATAGTATTCATTTACATCCATTCTAAGGAACAAACATACTTAAATGATAAAGAGGGTAAGTTTTTATAGAAACTGTGATGCTGCCTCGGTGAGAGTTTAACAGGGCAGTTTAGTATTATCAACTAGGTTGATAACGTAAATTGGCCACCGTAAAGAGTTTAAAAGCTGACGTTTCGAGCGTTAGCCCTCCGTCAGAGCGATTGGAGGAATTGCGGGTGGAGTGTGGGTTTATATTCAGAAAATGGAGTTACGCTTTTGGTGGGAATATGGTGACGAGGAAACAAAAATAAATAGTTGAATGAAAAGTGCTCGTTGATACCGTGGAGATTAAGAGTGTAGATATCGGCAAATTTCCCTGCTATACTGAAATGATAATTCCTTATGAATGGCTTCGGATAATCCACCTAAATTTCTTAATGCACGTTTCATTAAAGATAAACTAGGTTTTTGCAAGAAATAATTTTCTTAGTATAGTGAGCGATCTAAAGTTTGTAACTCAAAATCGATCTTTGTAGACTAAAATTATTATTATGAAATTACTGTTATTGAGCTACTAACTCACAAAGTTCACTTCAGTGAAAAACGTTTTGTATGGAAGATATTGATAGACGGTGTAACCCTTAAAACCCTTAAGATTGACCAGCATCTATTTTCTCCTTACTATATCAACCCTGAATCACACATTAAGGTAACGAGAATAAAGGAAATGATCACCAATTTAAGAAACTCGTGATTGTTGAACAAATTCTCCTTATCAGCACTTGAAGAAATTTATAGAGAACAGTATGGAGGATAAATGGGGATAAATGTGCGTAAGTACTCTCAGTGTGCGGTAAGGGAAGACAACAATCTTCTAGTCGCTGTGACTGTTCGTCAAGGCTTAATCCCAAAATAACATGTTATCTTGTAGCAATTCGTTAATAGAAGCGCCAGACAAAAGTGAAAAGAAAGTCTAGTCAGTGACTGTACCGAAATGTTTTAATCCGATTATAATTTTGCACGGGTCCGGGGATGTTTTGACAACTGAATAACTTGTGTATATTTATGGCGTACTGGTCGGAAGGCCACTCGACAACATGGCAAGTTCGTGGAGAGAGGTAAACGACAGGAAATTATTTTTTATCCTGAGAACAATATACATAAAATTGTGCTTTGCTTTTTTCGACTGATGAAAAATTGAAAATCTCTTTTGCAGCGTGTGCATAACACCGCTCTTATCCCAAAGTAATCCAGCGTAGTAAGAGAATTCTCGCCCAGTTTCAGATGAAAATTTGTAATGGTAAAATCACATATAAATTGCAACACCAGTTGTTGAGCTAAATGTTGGGAAGAATTTTGTTCTCTGTTAAAGGGTGTTTAAAGTGAAAGAGTGCTACCTCGAATTCCTTAGTCCAAAGATTCGACCACTCTTAATGGAGCATAATGTAAATTATACTCTTTTTTTTAATTTTCGTTTCATCAAATGTATGCTACCAAGGTTTGGATGAAAGGATTGAAGGTTAATAGGTTTGGAACTGGCTTTAAAACCGCATCTTACAATCATCCTTTTGTAATGAAAAATAAATTATCCTTTCATTGTTCTCCTAGACCTTAAAGTAAAGAAATATGCGATTACTAGATCAGAGCAAATCTGTTGTGATTAAGTTCAGCTGCATGACAAAATTTTGTCCTCGTTTCCACTCGCCTTCTTAAACAAACGACACAATTACTACAGTACGCGAAATAAGAAAATTTCGTTGCCATGAGTGAATCGTCCTTCTATCTTTTGTTTGCAAACAGATTTTGGACAAAAGCTCTCTTGCGCCGTTGTCAAGGAATTGCGAAACCAAATTGTCCCTAAATGTTCGCGCGAAGTAGACCGTGTTAAGCCTGAGGGATCAAAACTATTTACTCTTTTCTTTTATCTACTCATTTATCTCCGAAGTTCTAAAGATATCAACTTAGCTTTCTTCGGTAAAAGAGACTTGTAGCACTTTTGGCCGTGGGTGTAGAATGCTCTTTGTTCAGTGACGGCGTTTCAAACATTCAAGATAGCTAGAGTTTCAGGGTTAATTTTGCATTTCAAACAGGGGCAAACTGTAAAGGAAAAGAAAAACGGTGAGCCCTCTCTTAGTAATATATGTTTCACTTTCTTTGCCAGATTCTTGTGATAAAGGTAATATCTGCGCTTTAGGTGAATAACGTGGGTGATAGCAGAACTGCTAAAATGGCTGGTTTTTTTTATAGCATAGATTGTTCTGAAGAGAAGAATACTGATTTGTGGGTGATTCATTGAGTGGCCGGTCAATGGTACAAGAATGATTTGTATTATTTTCACTAATTCCTAATTTGCATGTGTAATTCAATGCACTTGTTGATGAATAAACATTGGGCCGCACGATTGCTGAAACGTTAAACAAAGCATTAACTCCTCGAGCCGAGAACTTTTAGTCTACCTCAGTGGGAAACCAGTGAAAATATTGATGCAACTCGCTGTGATGCTAACACATCGTGAAGAAACTAAACGTAAGTAATTTAGAATTTTAGAGTTGCTATAAGTTATGAAAGCCAACAAGTTTCGATGCGTTCTTTGTTGAACTCAAAATAGAAACTACGTCTTAGTGTAAATTACGATGGTCGATCACTGATAGCATTCCTTCCTTGTTTAGCTGTCTTTCGCCATTAAGTAATGCCTGATTACAGTTAAGAAAATGTTTGCCCTTTGGAAGTATAAACAAAAAACACTTTGAGGAGATGGTATATTTATTCTGCTGTGTCTATCGAAACGTTAACAATAGAATTTTATTCGTTGTTGATATATCAGTAATTACAGGCGAGCTAACAGGGATTTACACTACTCGGATGATGGCGTTTCTTAGTTTCAAACGAGAGAACGAACCATTCCGTGCAAAAATGTATCTGCTTGCAACAGAGCAATAAATCTCTTAGGAGACAGTTAATATACACCAAGGCGTCAAAGTAATCCGTAAATTTCCGACAGAGTGCGAAAAGTTGACGCAAGTGAAACATTCGATTGTTTTTCTCTCCATTTGACCAATTTTTCTAAGACAACTGATGTATGTATAAATCAAATTTCCAAGCCATTTCCGCAGATACTGATTAATGGATGATAAACGACTTCCCATTTGCAACCAACGATCTTCGCCCACTTGTTTCGTTTTTGCTCAGTTGCTGTCTCCAAAAGTATAATAAATTTGCCCTTGTTTTGGGATTCAAAAAATTGTTCAAGCTGCCTACAACGAACTGCCACCGAATTAGCTGGTCCAAGCAAAACATGAATTTTTACCTGCAATTTCTTTAATTCCAACGGCATGTTGTCATGTTCCTGACACGAAAACCCGTGCTTAAGGTCGATATGTTTATTGAAACACGAGTGATGATAATGAAATACATCCTAAATTCGACATAGAACATGCATTTTTGCGAGATACTTCCTTGTTTCATGGAAAAAAAATTTTTTTCAATTTTCTCTCACTAAATGTATTCAACAATTAGACATTTAAAAAAAGCAAATTTGACGAGGAGCACTCATTTAGATTGTTAATAAATGGCTCAGCGCGTTTGCGGTTGAGTAAAATTATTGTAATTAGTAAGTTCAAGTATTACATTTAGGGCAACGGGTAAACCGCAACAATGAATTATATTGTACTTCCTCTTTCACCATTTATCAAATCATGACTCTTTCACTTCGTTCGAATATTTTCACTTCGGTGTACAAATGCCTGCAAGCAGGCGACAAAAGTTTGATTGACACGTAGATTTCACATAACCCAGTGTCTGGGTTAGAAATTGATCTAATATGAAGTCAAAATGTGGCATGGACAAAAAAATAGCACAAGACACGTAGCCGACTTTGTCACTGATTTTGTTACCAAATGTTGACGTCTTCCGTTACTGTGCAGACCCGCGGCAGCATGGAATCTACTTGTTTTATATGATAAAGAGGTAACATGTTGTTGACGGAGACGACATTTATGCGTCTGTCCACTGATAGATCATAAGTATAAACTCAGCTAAAGACATGTATGATTCAACTATTTACATAATTGTTGCCGTGAGCCGTAACGCCCTGCTTAACCTGTTTCAAGTGTTATTTTTGACGTAAATGTTTTATGTGCGTATTTACATTTTTTTTTCGGAATTGTAGAAGTTGAAGAAAGCTTGTCATTGTGACCAGCTAAAGTGATATGATGAAAATTTTTGCGAAATACAAATGTTCTTTCTTTTCCGTCTTACCTCCTTTAAGAGATCATAAACAGTTGATATTCTCTTGTTTGCCTAAAGTAGGAATCATTTTCAAGCTGAGATCACGAAAAATAAGCCTTCACTTCACTGTTCTTTAATGTAATGCGAGGATCTTGAACGAGCTAACAGCATGCCCTTTTATCATTTTTAGCTTTCGCAATCACCAGATAAGAGGGACGCGGGAAGCCTGGATGTCATTTCAAAGACAACGTCCAATGTTAGTGCCGGGAACTGGCGCAAGAAGCTGGCCTAATTCAAGGCCCGCTGGATGTAAGTATAACCCAAGCCCTCTTATCCTAAGACTGAAAGAAAGGTTTTACTCAAACTGCTTGTTGAGAGACGCGATACCAAATGGTTAGCGAGCTTGACTTCCGAGCGTTAAGGTCCTTCTCGAATTCTGGGCACTGAGTGATATTGACTTAACTTTTTGCATGAAGGGTGTATTAACTGTTTCAGGCGTTCAGTTATTTAAAACAAAACACGATAGTAAACAGCACTATAGTAGCAAAGGAGTTAAAAAACGAGTCGGGTTTGGAGCGGGTTACCCGACCCGACCCAGACTTCCCTCGCTTTTCACTCCAACGCGACTATCGCGCCATTTGCTATTTTGCGCCGTTTTACCAACTGAACGCCTGAAACAGGCTTAGGATGTATTAAGCCTTGAACTCTTAAGAATATGATTACTAGAATTGGGATGTAAAGGGTACCGACGAATTGTCATGGAAAACCTGGCGAAATGCTGAGGGATAATCTGATGCAGATTACTTCATTGAGAAGTCTCGTAATTGCCCTATGTCTTTTAGGCTCTGTCATGATTTGTTATAAAACTGAAAATAAAAAGATAATTTTATTCATGGTATGTCCATCACTAGCCACCTCCTCTTCGGTGGATAGTTGTTAATCATTTTCAACATAAAACATTTCAAAGGACACGTCTATTCGTTAAACGTCTCCGCAACGTGCAGATTTTTTCCTAACTTGGTGTGTTTTTCCCAATCAGTGTCTACTTTAGAAATGGGCTTCAACAGACGAGCAGTGTCCACCACAGAATCGCACTCACGAAATCTTCCACCAATGGAATACAATCTGCGGCCGGGTAACAGGAAAGTTGGGATTAAAGCCGAAACAGGAGATAAAGGACAGCAGGCTTGGGCCAAGACATGGGCTAGAATGCGTGCAGAACAAACTAATGTACATGCAAAAGGCTGCACAAATCACAAGCGTCGAAACCCAACAATAAGCCGCCTGACAAACACAGGATTAACATCAGCATGCAAGAGGAACGAGATCGTAGCGATGAATGAAAAGGAAGCAATGGTGTACAAGAGGTTAAAAGGAATCTATGCCAATTCTACAGATAAATCAGTGAGGGCTCAGCGATTAAAAGACAACATAAATTCACTGCAGTCCAGAACACTGCACTCTGAGATAGACCACAGCTTGAAAGAGTACAAGAAAAGAGAAGAAGAGGATAAGAGGAACAGATCAGAACTTAAACGTCTAAGAGAAAGGTATTCGCGCGATAAAGATCGCAGGAATAAAAGATCTTATTTGAGTTTGAACGCATTAGAGTCACCCCAAGTGTCACGCCATGCTTATGGGTTACCCGAGGAAGGACATGAGCATATGCAATCCGGAGTCACACAACAAGCTCAGGAAAGGTTACGTGACATTTGGCAAAGTGCTATGAAGCGGGCCGCGTTGGTTGATAAAATATTAAACTCATGGACGCAACAAAAAGCACCTTTACCTGAAATTAAGATAAGAAGGCAAAGTGTGTCCCATAAAGAAGCGAGAAGGCCGAGTGATGAAGAAAATATAGAGGACAAATTGCGCCGAAACTCCAAAGAGACTGTCAATCAGCTTGAAATGGTTTTAGGAGAAATAGATGTTATGTCAACAGGTACGTTTTTCACAGCTTATTTCTAGATGTTGTTTTATAAGAATTTTGTATTATTCCAAAGTTAATTTTAAACTTTAAGCTGTCAAAAAAAACTATACTAATTCGACATTTCGTTTCCCTTGTCAGTCAGTCAAGCAGATAGCACCAGGCCAGGCAGCGAGTCTGTCGGTCAGTCCGTCCGTCGGTAATTCGGCCGGTCAGTGAGTCAGTGGATCACTCGGTCGGTCAATCACCAGGTTTTTTGTTCGTTCGTCCCTCCGGCCTCAGTAGTATGTTAGTTAGTTAGTCAGTCGGCGTATTACAATTTATTAACGATTTGCAATTTATTTTTTCAGTTGTGTCGGACTCAGACGAAGAAGACCCTGAAGACAGTGAACAGGACATTGTTTGATATTATAAACATTTGAAAGTTTCATTTGAAATTAATTTCCATCGCTTTATATTTATCTTACTCCACAACAAATCATGTGACGAGGAAATAAACGAATCATTCGAAAGCTTTTCATCGTCCTGTTAATAATGAAATCACCTCGGTGGTTATATAGCAATTTTCAATTGATTGTCGAGAGCTGTCCCTAGATATTCCGTTTTGAATTGGTTTTTCCTTTACTTTTGGGATTGGTCCAGAATACTCGCACCTATTGCTCAGCCGAGCAGATTCAAAAGTGTTCATCCGCGTTTTCCCGCGCTGCAAACAGTTTGCTTGTTTTACCTTGAATTGTTATCAGCTCAAACTGGTTGTTTTGCATTACTTTGGTCAGTTTTTGTTTTACAAGATCTTTTATGAATTTCCCTGTTCTTATTCTCTTATTTCAAACGAAAAATTGATATTTTTAACTTGGCTGTTAGAGCATATTTAAAAAAGTAACGATTTAGGTAGTAATTTTTAAGTATAATCAATGAAATCAAAGTATCTTTATCGGGAACATATGTGAATAAAGTCATATTTGTTGTGGGAACTCAGAGATATTCAAAGAGGGTCTCGATAGGGCGAAAATAACAGCTAAAATTTTTAGCTATTTTACGGCAAAACGGTTAACTTCCCTTTGTTGTGGTTAGGTTTTTACTAGGACCAACAGTGATGTTACTAAATATCGTAAGCCATTTCTCAAGAACGTACTAATGCGCAATAAAACCGGAATCGCACATTATCTGAGACAAAAGAGTTCATTTGTTGGCGACCATACCGCTGAAAGGGAGCCAGAATGACCCTGAGCTCGAGATTGCACCTTTGGCGGGAAACTTATACCGCTACCCTTTATTTTGGGTCAGTCTGATGAATAAGAACTCAATTCCCGCACGGCTCGTCTGCGTGCACAGCGTCACATCATTATCCAAGTGATATTTTTGAGGCAACTTTTGGTGGTTGAATTTAAGGATGTTTTTCAAATTACAATTATGCGAAGGTCTTCATATCTCTACAGGTGAAAATTATTCGCAATTTTCGTAATTTTGAGACGAATTTGGCGTTTCATTTCACCTCGTTAAACAATCAGCGTGGGCCACTTTACTTCGTAGCCATGAGCACGTGGGTTGAACGAAAGGAGAAGTTACTGCCGTGGTACAAATGCACAATTTGGATAGAATAGAGGGAATGATAGGTGAAGGGAACTTTCATAAATTTAACTTATTGAGAATTCATTATTTTCCTCATAGGATATAAATGAACGAACATCAGTAGTGACCTTCCATGACAAAGGTCAACTGCGTGACGTGACGTTTCCACGCTCTTGTGGGCATGTTTGCACAGCTCCAATAGGATTTTAATAACGATTTGAGTTTATTTGTCCTCACGCTTTTTCAAAGAATTGAGATTATGTTTCGTTCATTCAAGGATTCATCGACAAACTTTGTGCAAAGCTGGATATGTCACGCAAGCGTCAGCATTAACGTGCGCCACCTGAATGGACTCGAAGAGCGCTTGCAAGGTGAGGAATACCTCTTTTGGAAGGGGAGGGGGGATATTTACTGAGTCAGAGAAGTCTACCTGTCAGACCAAACATAGTGAGAGGGTTTGGCCTGTATTGACGACCTTCGTGTGGCCGGACTTTTTCACAGAGACCTCCCGCTTGGGTATTGTAGAGAACGGAATGTTAATCGTTCTATGATACGAATTCAGCCATTTTTTGCACCTTGGAGTATGAACCTTTAGAAAGCTGATGTTGTGAAGGGAGGCCTCCGTCCTCAGAAATTAGACCAGAAAAAGACGAAAGCGACAATCTTTCTCTTTCTTATAGAGGTGAGAATTTTTAATGTATTTATAGTACTTTTTAAAAGGAAGTACAGTTTAAGAAAACGCTCAAATCGTGAATTTGCTACAATAGTTCACAAATGCTTGCCATTGCAAATAAAACTGGGCACTACCTTGTAAAATATGGTGAAACAAATACTGACAAAGAGGCTCCGTTATGAGCTTTAAACTGTAAATTCAAAAGACCTGTTTCAGCCCCAAAGGGCCGATTCAGCTCTGTGGCTCTAAACCTGTTTTAACCCTTTGTGGGGCCATTTTGTCAACTGGTTCAGAGTAGCTTCACAAGGGTAGGCTCGATTATCAGTCGCTGTTTGGGGATATGGGCTTGCGTACCTTTCCCCGAACCCACGCACTCGCAAGGGCGGATCCAGGCCAAAAATTTTTGAAGGGAGATGGTTCAAACAAATTCAGGAACACAGCAAACTTTTCTTTATCGAATCTACAGCCTAAATAAGCAGAGAAATATAGGTCTGGTGGGAAGGGGGATCCGGACCCCCACAGACCCTCCCACCGGGATTGTCCCTGCACCAGGTTCAGTCCTTTAGGAGATGCCATATTTCATTCCTGACTACGATTGCCTAAGATTCTTGGGAGTGTACAAAATCATAATGATATATATATTTATATTTTTAAACAAATCTTAATGTGTCTTCCTGAAAATTTGTCATTTTTACAAAAATATCTGTACATCTCTTTAGAAGGATGTTACAACTACAACTTCCAATTTTTAGCAGAACTAGACAATGCTCAGATATCAGTGGACACTTGGGAACAAATTAGCCGAGTGTGTTTGATTTTGAAGCTTCTAAAAGTAATCAAGAACAGGTTCTTGTGAGGCCATCTAAGTATCCAACTCGATCCCCGAGTGGTGTAAAAGCATTTTCTACGAAAACCTCACAACTCACTTCGCTAAACAAATAATTATGATATACCACGAAGCAAAGAAAATATGTAAGAAATAACTTTTGCATGCCAAGAAACTTTTATAGTTTTCTTTAATTTATCTTAAAACTTACCTAAGCCCTTTTAAAGAAGAGTGAATCGGTTTCCCTCTTCAAACAGAGAAAAATTTTTTTGACGAAGAAATATATAGCAGATATGTTCACTAGATAATATTTCGCTTTCGTCTTACTCTGACTCTTTACCTTCGACTCGACTCGGTCTTTGCCTTGAGTAGTTGTTAAAATGCAACAGAAATTCCCGTGGGAGTTCGTTTGTCATCATGCTGAATTCGAACAATCGATCGCTCAATACAACCAAATGTTGCTGATTATAGAGTCTTTTTGTTTGCTATTATTAGAACAATACAGCCACCACTTTGTCGCGGACAAACCCGTAATCTTGTCTTATTGACAAAAGATCGATACATGAAAACTCCCCTGTAGACGTTGAAGTTACATGCACTGAAGAGGATATCAATATGTTTACAGTTCTCGACTTAAAAGTTTCCTCTTTTTTAATGCTAATGAACGCCATAATCAGAGGTAAATTTCAACATTGAGAGATCGGTTACATTTCTCACACAAGTCAAGAGCCTCTGTGAAAAAGTTCGTTCATAAAGCACTTAACTCAATTGAACGCAGCATTTTCACGCTGATACTAACAATACTGGCCTTCGGAACAAAGAACTCATTCAGATGAGGACCCAGTTTGGGAACAAAGGCATTTTAATGTCCCTGGTGGTTTCACGTGTTTTTCTGTATGTGACAAAACTGAAGCTTGTTTTACCACTGGCAAGGAGTCTAGCAACAAGAAAAGAAGGTTTCTCAGCTGAAAAACAATACGAACACAGGGAAAACAGCAAGATGTCTTGTAAAAACGAAGCTTTAATTTAGTACAAAGCTCTAAAGCAAAGTGTGAGAGAAATGGGTGGCAACATTTAACAGCCAACCTTAGTTTTTTTTAGATTTTCTTGTTTCTATCTCATATGCGGCCACTTTCATTATGATATTATATTATTCTGTCACTATTATCTTAATGACAACAAGACATTTAACAGTAGACTAAACTTCAAAAAATGGGGATTGTTCTTTCAAATCAAAGAAACTTTTCGATAATCCATGTGAGTGTTTTGTCGAAGATATTTCCCCGTAAAAAATTGAGGAAACATATCGTGAGACGTGGCGGCTCGAGATTGCATTGCTGTTTAAACAATTGTTAGTTTTACTCAGGTGATTAAAATTTTAAACTCCCAATCTGGCGGATAGTATAACATGACGCCAACTTTTTGAGCGAGTTCGAAAGCTTCCGACTAATTTTTGACGCTTTAAAGTTGTATAAAACGACAGGGCGCCATTACCGCAGTATATGAAAGAACACCGCTCAAATGTAACTTTTAACAATAACATCATTTAACATGGTTTTAATGGATAACATTTTAGCTTGCTATTCATAGATAATTTTAGGGAATACGAGAATTGTTTTAATTTTGTGTAACAACGCATCGTTTAGGAGCAATTGAAAGAGAGTGTGAAAATAAACGCTTGATATGAAGAGGTAACGTCCGAGTTCCAAACGCTCAATCTTGTGATTCCCAAATGTTCATAATTGCAACTTTTTCGCAAGACTTCACTTGTGGAGCTTAATTTAGAACGACCGTGATTTTCAACTGAAGAAAGGACCTAAATATTCTTTTAAAACAACATTAAAATATAAAAAGAATATAAATATATTAACATGTGTATAATCGATTTCAGCGCTTCGTTGAATCGATTGCTTGCATGATACTCCTCGAAACAAAATACTGAAAAAAGCTGGTTTACTCAAACGAAGGTAAGTGATAATTTCCCATTAAGAATATCCAGCCAGAACTTTAAGACAGGATAATAAAACTGAAATGGATAAATATTTCATAAATATAGTGCATTAAAGAAGTAGACTATTTGCCTCGAGTTTAGAAGTGTTTATTGCAGATTTCTTTAGTTGTCTGTTGCACGAATTTTAAGGGAACGCTGGGACGAAGCATAAGTCACGTGACTTCAAACGACATTCAGCTTTTCACAGATGACCAATTGAAGTTGGATGGTATTAGCCTAACACAGACAGTCGCTTGCTGAGTTTCGAATTAATAAGTTTAAGCGTGATAATTTCTGTTTTTTTTCTCACATGAGAGATCTTAGCTGAGGCTATAGCAATCGGGATTTTAGTGTACAAAAAATGCCACAGGGAAAATAAATCGACTCGATTGATTATCAAGAATTTTTGAAACTGGAAAAACGTGAAAATTCGCCCATCGTTTAGTTCTAAAATGATTTTAAGAGTTTAAAAGAAAGTATGAGAAAAAATTGACCAAATCAAAAATTGTGAATGTTGAAAAGATGAGTTTATCAAAGTGGACAATACATATTTCTTTGAGTGTCAGTTAGGAGAATTTTTCAGTAGATCAAGTTATCTTTCTAAGGCGATTTCAAGCAACTGAGTGTTGTTATGTTTTTACCGCTGCATCTTTAC